ACTTTGTAAAATTAAGGTCATTATATCTTCTTCCTTCCATTATAAAATTGTAGTAAGACTCAAATGAGAATGTGTATGTGAGATTACTTTGTGCATGCTATAGGCCAATAGAAGTTATTATTATGAGGCAGGGTTTTTTTCTTTTAACATTATATTGTTTCCTCCACCATCCTGGAAGATAGAGAGGATCTTAACTAAGAGATAGGGAGAAGACAGAAATTGTTGGGCAATAATGGTATGAGGTGTGATAGAAAAATACAGTGGCTCTTTAAATTAAATAAAATACATATTACAGTAAAGACACAATGCTATTAATCCCTCCTCAAAATACTCTGCCTTGCTTCAAACACACACCATAGTTCTCTTTCTAAAGTGGTCCTGGATATCCTGTTTCTTAATGTCTTTAGTTGCACTGTCCTGGCTGCCTCAGTGTATTGAATCAGTTGAAAACATTTACCTTTCACAATCATTTGAATGTTAGGAAAGAGCCAGAAGTTGCACAGTGCCAGATCCAGTCAGTAAGGAGGATGAGGGCAACTGTTATGTCTTTACAAGCCTGCCTTTCTCATTGGATGACACATGGCAGCAGCACACACCATATATCTTTTTAACCATGCCTCATAAAGACAGGGGAGAAGGACTTCCGGAACTCTTTCACAGAGTAGCAGGAACGGTGGATAAGTGTGTTCCAAATGAAGGGAAGTACTTTGAGGGAGAGTCATGATAATGTGGATTTTACTGTAATACATTTTAAAAAACATAAACATTCATTGTATGCTTTGATCACCCCCTTGTACACCTTGAGCACAGGATATTCTGTTGACTCTCCCTTTGAGGCTTTCTGGACTGTGTCCACTTCTTTGCTCCTTTGCTACCATCTTGGTCCAAGATATTATCATCTATCACTGAGGAAGTGGCCTCTTAATTAGTGTCCTGCTTCTACTCTCTACCCTCTTTCAAGCCATTTCCGTTCAATTCCCAGTGTTGCTTTCCTTTTCTGATTGCTTCCCTCTATATTTAGAATGAAATCTAAACTACTCACCACAATCCCTGCTTACCTCTTTGTGCTCATTTGGTGTTGTTTTTGTATTGCTTGCTGCATGATAATCTCATGAGCCTTCCTTCTGTTTTTCATTCTTGACTTAAAGCATTAACCTAGTGGTCCTGCCTGCTTAGAATCTGTTTCCTCTTGATGTCCCCCCTCCCGCCCCACTCTCCTGCAACTGGCTTGCTCTTGTCATTCTGTGTTCTCCTCAGAGAGGCTTTTCCCTGTCCTATTTCAATTTTCTCTACAGCTTTTATCACCATCTGATATTTTCTTTGAAGGTTATCTTTAGAACAGTGTGTCCCTTTCTGTCTTATTTGATGTTTCATTTAAAAAATTCCTGGCATGTAATAGGTGCTTTAAAAAGTCCATTAGTTGAACATATAAAGTTAAGCTTTGAAAGGGACCAACATTCGCAAGGAAATAAATTTTCTTCTCCTTTCTCTTCCCTCTCTCCCTCTTCTCCCTCCTCCTCCTCCTCTTCCTCCTCCTTCTTCTCCTCCTCTCTTTTTCTTTTGTTGCACTTAGAAGACATTATTTTTATTTTTTATTTTTTGCATTCAGAAGACATTAAAAGCCCTGAGATCTCCCTCAGGACAGATCATCAAAGGCTTGAATATATCTTCTTCATTTACCCACATCATAGAGCCTAGTATGGTTCATTACTTCTAGAAGGATCTAGGTATAACTTGGTAATAAAACTGAGATCTGGGAAGAAAGAAATGGAGAAAAAAGACTGAGGGCACATTCGGCAATACATTGTTACAGAATTGGATCTGCAGCATTAGAATGCCTTTAGATAAACTGTTGCATATTCATATGGTAGAATGTAAGAAAGAGAACTGCTGCTACATGCAGCAACATGAATGAATCTTAGTCATATTGATGAATGAAAGAAGCAAGAGGCAAAAAGCTATAAAGACTGTATAATTATAAGAAGTTTATAAGAAGTTCACGAGCAGGCAAAACTAATCGATGTTGATTAAAGTCAAAACTGTAATTACCTGCTTACTGGGAGGGGCCCTCGTGGAGTGGGGAGAATATGTTACATTTTGATTGGAGAGGTAGTCTCATGGGTCCTGAACAAATATTTCCCTTTTTATATTTAATACAACTCCATAAAATAGTTTAAAAAGGTGAAGTCAGAAAAAATAATACTAAATAAAGAGATAATGAAGAGAAAGATGGGTGAAATAATTTTTTAAAAGACTGACAAAAGGGACCCTGAGGGGGGAAGAAGTGAGAGGGCATTCTGACTGTGGAGGGTCATTTGAGCTGCATTAGCATGGACGCATCCATCATCCTTAAGCTTCATGGGTACATAAGGTAAGGCAGCATCAAACCTTTCATTCAGGCATCACCTGTGTATCCTCCAAAAACTGATCAGTCCCATAATGGTTCCCTATATGAGTGCCCAAAGAAAACTTGGGAGGCTCAGCCTTGCTCGAGAGCCAAAAGTTTAGTAGTAAAAAACAAGTAGGAAATGCTTAGCTCTGGACTTTTTAAAAGCAGCATAAACAGGGACACACATTTCATGCAAAATTCAGCTGCTGTGACAGTGACAAAGTAATGAGGCTGGCTGCCCTTTTCTTTTAAAACAGGGGAGCTTAAATTTTTCACACATAGTTCTCAAAGTACATAGTTCTCCTGGTGCAAGGTGATCAAGGGAAAAGCCCTTACCACCTAACCATCTTCCATATAAAGATATGTATTTTAGGTTAAAAATGCAATGTCTTTCTCAAGTATCCTGTTCCCTGAAGTCTGGGAAGGTCATGGGAATAGGGTCAGTTGGCAAGAGACATGGCATTCGGTTACTTGTATAACCATCTAATTAGATAAACTAGCAGCCTATGCCAATAGACGGAGGCTTGGAGGGTTTCATTTTCCATAAATTATGGGGCCGATATTTATCCTTTGTTGAGGAGGGCTACTTTTTTTCCCTTTTGGCTCAGATTCCCTCTCAGCCAAACAATCAAATGTTTGAAATAAATTCTGAGTGGTTTATTTTATTTTTGAAGATGTGAGGGGGTGTGGCTTAAAAGCCATTTCCTAACTTCAAGTCCTTTTCTTGCTGCTGCACATGAAGTTTGCATTTCCATGAGCATCTGTGGCTGGCATTTCAAAGAACACCATACTTGCAGTTCTTTTTAGAAGACTCAAGGTTGGCTTAGAGTTGGCTTGTAAAGCACAGCTTGTTTTCTTAGTTCAACAGAACAAAATAGCTCATCTAGTTTGCAGTCTGCAGCCATCCAGAAATGGGTAGCATTGCATGAAGTGATATTTTAGTTTTGGTCTTTTGTAGTCCCTGTGGATTTTTACCCTGGTTGCTCTGTTTTGTCTGACTGTTCTTATGTACAAGCCATGTTGCCCCTACCCTTTGCTCTGGTTTTTTTTTATCCCCCCGCAAGCCTGGGCTTAGAAATAGAGCTAAATTACTAAGAATAAGCTAGTCTCTCTGCCTTTTGCTCTCCCTGCCACATAGGAACTTAGGTTCCTGGGAGGCATTCAAGTATTTCCAGAGGTATACAGTGGGCATCCTATATATGCTTACCAACTAGCCAGGCTCATGTTGGGTACCACCATGCCAGCAATTAGGCATCTGCTGGAAGTGAGGCCCAGCAGCTCTTGAGATGGCAAAGCCAAAATGAGTAAATATTGTGACTACTTAAAAATATGGCTCCAAATTGTTTTCTATCCTTTCAATCAAGAAGCTGGGCCCATTGTTCCTTCCCTAGAATCTTTGTGAGTTTGTTATTGTCTGTATCCAGAGGGCTACTAGGCCTGTCCCACCTCCTCTCCAAACTTTATTCTCCTAATAGTATTTTCCAGCACTCCCCTGTTGTCAGGCTGCTGGCCAACATATTCCATCCTTTTTTCAAATGAACCCGGGCAGGACTTGGTTCCAGCTATTCTCAACTTATTAATGACATTGTTTTCCACCTGGATCAGAAAGGCTTACTGGGATAACATGAAGCAGTGCAATGGGGAGAAGACCAGGTATTTTATTGTGATGTATGCATCTCATCTGAGTGTCTGATTATAGTTACACCTTCCTCACAAAAGACATTACCATCTTGTAGGCAGATGTTAATCAGAAACACTTCTGGCCACGTGATAGTAAGACCTCAGCACCTCTGTCACATTCTGCGTTTCCTTCCTTTACACAACTTTTTTGTTGACTTTTTTCACATGTGCCTCCTGTTAGGTTGTGTCATATTCTGGTGTGGATCACAAATTGTGTCTGTTTGTAAACTGTAGTTGGCTTCACAGGAGAAGATTATCCTCCTTGCTGACCTCAGTGCTGGCTTTTCATCTCCTGAAATGCACAGTTTTAGACTGACCTCTAAGAAGGCTCTCTGCCCCCTGTCCAGGTCCCAGATCATCTTCTTTAGCTGAGCTCAGCTTTCTCCCACCCTTGTAGTGTCCCTGAGTTTTCATGGCTCCTTCAAGTCCAGGCACTGAACTCACAAGCCTACTTTCCTGCATTGTTCTGGAATGAACATCCATGATTTTGTTTCCTAAGATCTGCCCCTTCCTAAGGTAATGGACAATGATAATATTTAAGACAGACATTCTCATTGTTAACTTGTGTTCTTTGGCTCCCCAAGGGAAATCTCATCAGAGGACAGTATTCCAATGTTAGTGTATTTGTGAAACTCATGTTCATTGCTCTGCAAGACAAGTTTTTGCAGTGATGGAAATATTCTACATTGGTCATCTCTAGGTGACTTGTGGCCACTAAGCACTTAAAATTTTAATTTTATTTAGTTTTAATTAAATTTGAATATCAATACATGGTTAGCAGGTATTGTATTAGACAGAACTGTTCTATTTCACTAAGTCTTAGTAACATTGTATTTATGAGATTAATAGTCTAGTTAAGGTGACCTACCCAGCTCAGTCTTTTCCTAGTTGGGATAAATATTGAGGCCTGTCTTTCCTGTTTTCTCCGAAGGCTTCATTTCCAAAGTGGAATGCAGTTCTTCAAATAAGAAGATGCACCTCTCTCCAGAGCTAACAGAAACACACGGAATGCAGTAATAACTATAAAAAATCAAAGAGCTTCAGCGTATGTAGTTTCCACTTTGAATCAGGTGCCATAGAAAGTCTTAATAAAGTAATGTATTTGTACATTTATTAAACAAGCAGTGATCATTGATTATATCATCAACAAGAACTGTTTCGGGCACTGTGGATATAGCAGTGAATAAACAAAGTCTCTGCTATCGTGAAAGCTTTTCTGTTGTTTTCTATGAGGAGAGACAGCTAAACCAAAAATAACTTAGAAATCAGAAAATTTAAATGAAAAGGAGAAAAATGTTCAGGCAAAGGGGACAGTGAGGGATACTGAGTGGTTTTTGAAATGGAGGTGGTCTAAGATGTGACTGACAGGGCTGTGTGAGCAGAGGCCTGAGGAGGAGAGCAGGCGGCTGCACAGCTCTCCAGGGATAAGAACTTGGGGCAGATGGAGCCAGGCAGTGTCCTTGAGGTGGCAGCAGGCTCAAGGGTTCAAAGCATAGCAAGAAGGTTTAGGTGGCTGGGAAGGAGAAGAAAGAGGGGCAGGTAATAGATGAAGTCAGTGGGGAGGAACAGGGGCCGGGTGATGTGGAGCCTGGGAGGATTTAGATTTTTATCTTGAGTGGGAGAAGAAGCCTTGGAGGGATTTCAGCAGAAAAATGATAGGCTCTAACTTTTATTGTCAGAGAATCAATGTGGCTGCCATGTACAAGGGCAAAATGTGGGAGTCTAAGTAAGAGGCTGTGGTAATAGTAGGTGGATTGTACTAAAGTGGGAGTGGTACAGTAAATAAATGTAACAGCATTCAGCAAGGTCTAGGAATGGTCTAACCAATCTGCTTGCGGTGCCAGTGTATCAATGATCATAAACTTTCTGCCTTACACAACTTGCTGTGAGTTTAAAGAAGGCATCCTGAGAGGGCAAACAATGAAATGGGGCAGGCAGGTGGCGTGGGTGTGCTGGCAATTTACAAATGAATGTTTGTGGCTGAACTTGGCAATTGGGCCATAGTTGTCTGATCTCTGCCTTATACTCATTTTTCATGGTGTCAATGAAAAATTCTGTTTTCTGTGTAAGTTATTATGTATGACCCTCTTCTATCATATAAAAGCCATACTTGGGGAAAAAAAGTCCTTTGCCCCTTCCTTATGTTCTGTTTTAAAATAGGTTGAAACAATAGATATTTGACTTTTCTTATCTATGGGAACCCACCTGGAAATAATGTCAATGGCCTACCACTAGAAAAGAGAGAGGAAGAAAATATTTCAAAGATTTCTAATGACTCCAACGCTGGTATGATAACACTGGTCACCTTTCTCATAATATGTCACTCTGGCCACCACAGTTCTGTGAGTAATATGGTAGCATCTATCAGAAGGCTGATCTTTAGCTCTCATTTCACACTGGCCTTAGAAGTGAACAGCAAGTATCAGAAGTAGATGGCACATTAGGAATTACTGGTAATTTTTCAAACACTAATGTTCAGGTGTTGTTATTTAGTTCTCACATTAATAAGTTCAGTGAGGCTGAGGTTGTGCGTTGTCCAAAAGCATGGAAATGAAGTTTGGATTAGAAGATTCTAGTTGTTGAACCAATGAAATTATGCTAAATGAGTAAAGTTAGAGTGACACAAATGATGCAGATGGTGTGTTCTGGTTGCAACTCCCTGCCTTGTCCTATCCGTTTGGAACCTCAGTCTTGCACCTCCCACTTATCAGCTGTGTTCTTGGTTAACTCAGTCAACTACTCTAAATCTTTATATCTTTCTCTGTAAGTAGGGACAATAATACCTAAAATTATTGTAGCTAGAATAGCAGCTACAGTAAAATGGGGTAAGTAGGCAGAGATGCTGGTGCTCACCAAACATTCTTTCTGCTGTCACACATCCCCTAGTAATATTTGCAGCTGTGTGCCTCATGTAACTGGTTCTTTTAATGAAGTATGAGAGCATTATGTATCACATCTGGAAAGAGGCATTAAAAAGTTGAGTCATTTTCTATCTCTTTCTTCCCCTTCCATGGCAATCGAGAAGGTAGCATGTTGCAAGCAGGACAGTCATAAGATGGTAGAGCTTTAGGCTGGATCCCTAAGTGACTGTATTGAACAGTGTCCTAGCTACTGTGAGGTAAATAGGCAGCATACATGAGGAATAAACTTTTATGATGTTATGCCACTAAAGATTTACATGGCTCTTACTATAGCATAAGGTTAGGCTATTGCAAATACTATCAATCTTCTATGAAACAGGGCAATGTTATAATAAAAACCTAAAATATTTTGTATTTACTCCATTCGTGTCACTATACCAAAACACCACAGACTGAGCAGCTTATAAACAATGGAACTTTGTCTCTCATAGCTGTGAAGGCTACAAAGTTTGAGATCAAGATGCCAGCAGGTTTGGTGTCTGGTGAGGACCTGATTCCTCATTCATAGATAGCTGTCTTCTCATTGCATCCTCACATGGTGGAAAGGGCAAAGCAGCTGTCTAGGCCCTCTCTTATAAAGGTGCTAATTCCATTTATGAGGACTTTGTCTTCATGGTCCAATTACCTCTTACAGGGCCATCATATTGGGGGTTGGTTTCACTGTATGAATTTTGAGGCGGCACATAACATTCAGACCATATCAAGACATTTCCTTCCACCACCAAACTTAGCCACACTGAGCAGGATAATCTATTAAAAGGATACAATAAGGAAATAATTCACAGGGGAGGAAAGAAAGGGAAAGAGAGAAAAAAACATTTGATTCTGTGACCCTCTTCATCTTTGTATTTCTTAGTTATGAAAAAATATTTGCACTAATTTGAGTTAGATATCTATCAGTATACCAGGTGGGTCTAAACTGATCTAAATTGTGTTGGAGTTTATGTTTGGAACAATCCACACATTATATCGTAGTTTCAGTGCTCCTGACTGTTTGAATTCTTATATCCTTTTGTGTATCATTATTCAGAGAATTTAAAATGTGCTTTTAGTCACCTATTGTGACTTGTATCTTAATTTTGTATTTTCAAGAAGTTTAAGTTGTCTTGCATTTTATGTGTTACACATCAACATATACATTCATATTCCCCCCCTTTCTTTTGTGAGCCAGGGTCTTGCTAAATTTCTCAGGCTGGTCTTCAACTTGTGAGCTCAAGTGATCTTCCTTTTTCAGTCTCCTGAGTAGCTGAGACTACAGGTGAATGCTACCATGCCCAGCTGCATTTTCTCTTACTTATATTTTCTGATTTTATCTTATTTTTATTGCAAATGTTTTTGTATCTTATGAATTCAGTATGTAAACTAACTCTACACAGATTTGATTCTCATTGTTAGTGAGCTATTACTACTTTGTCAAGATATTAGTTCATTTTCTGTTATTATAATGAAATACTTGAAACTGGGTAACTTTATAAAGAAAAGAGCTCACAATTCTGGAGACCCACGTGTATGGTGATGACATCAGTTTGTGTCTGGTGAGGACCTCATGGTGGATGTTGGCACAATGGTAGGAGTATGCTGGAGGGGGAGAAGTCACGTGCCCCAGACAGGAAGCACAAGAGGCCAGGGGTGGCCATGCTTGTCATTTTTTAACAACCCACACATAAAAGTTAATTTGGGGTTTTAGGAGAGCTACCAGAATCCCTTCTGAGGAGACGCCTTCTGTGACCTAAGGATCTCCCACTAGGCTCCTTTTGAAAGTTCTACCACTTCAACACACTCAGGCTCAAACCTCCAATACATGAACCCTTGGAGGATAAACCCCATCCAGCCACAGCAGACAGATGAAGTGGCTCTGTCCAAGCTATACTTCATACACCATAAAGCACTGCTGCATCACAAAATACTGCTCTACTTAATTGCAAGCATTTTTACTTTTTCTTTAGGTTACTACCACCTTCATAAATTGCAACCAGAATCAGAATTCTGTAGAGTTTGCTGGGTGGTTAGTTTAAAGCAGGTATTTGTGGCCAAGCACAATTTTCTGTAAGAATCATACCCAAGGTAGTCCACAGGCTACGTCAGTTACATGTAAGGAGTGTGACTCTAGTGAATGTTTAATATGTGATTTCACCTTGAAGAGTCATTGGCTGCAATTCATGCTGAGGACATATTTGGGTTTCAAACATTATTCTCCATGATATTCCTATTTGTTTAGGAGTAGGTGCCATTACTATGGATACCTTCGGCTAACTGGTTCCAGAGAGTTTCTGGTGCTTTTTGTAATGCAGCAGCCCAGCTGCCTCTCTACTTGGAAACTGAAAATACACTGGACATAAAATAGAGCTCAGAAAAGAGATTCAGAGAATTTAGATGGCAAAGACTTCACTTTTTCCTTAGGCCGGGTGTGCCCCCTCTCCAGGGCTGAGCTGGTTTTCCTCCTTATAGCTCATAGCTCCATGGCATGAGTGCTTTCTGCACTCAAAATGGGTAGAAAATGAGGGCTATGCCTTCTGAGAGCGATTTTCTGAAGCTGTAATTCTTTCTGAGGGAAGGATAATGACCAACTAGTTGGGTTTCTCTCCAGTTGAAGTTGTTAGTCACAAACTATAGGTGGTGATTAATGAAGAGGAAAATTATTTATATTTACATTTTCTATATATATATTAGATAAATGTGTCCCATCTCAATTTTTACTCTGAAGATGGAATAGTAAGATTTATTCCTTTTGTTTGGTTGTTACGGATTTGTTAAAGACATTATATTATTTATGAAATTATTTGGAGGGAAGCAAAAACTTTATATCTTATTCTAATTTGTAAGATGTTGTCAAAAATGTTATAGAAGGTAACAAACAGGTTTCAATAAGAATGTAACTCTAACATATATTTCATGTAATGCATATATATATGTCTAATTAATAATGTGTAATAACAAATATAATCTTTTCAAATGTCCTAATTAAATTTCAAACCCTCAGTTTAGGCTTTGTGCTTTTTATTAGCAATGATAGATTAAAAAAAAAAAAAAGATTCTGGTTGCTCTATGGAAATTGTCATTGCAAGGAGCTTGCAACCATACAGCCACAAGGAGGAGCTCAAGTATCAAATTAAAAATTAACACAAACTAATAAAGTCTAACGTG